TTGGTATATTGATTATTTCAGCCCAATATTTTATGCGTCGTTTTGCAGTGTAAAAGAAAATCTTCCACACTCGCCCAGTACACAATTGTTAGATGATCGTGAGGAAACACCAAGGAAATATCTGCAAGCAAGATATTGAATACGTTCCAGACACTCAAATTTGTTAGACCCCCAGACCTCCAAACCATAGGTTAAAATAGGTAAAATCATGGAATCAAAATTGTTATTGAATGAATCATAATTTAAAGGACCAATTTTTCTAGTATTTTTCATAACAGCCATAAATACTTTTTTAGCTTGCTGTGCTAAAGACTTTGTAACAGTCTTGAATGTAGAGACATCAGATAATGATAATACTTGTAGTGATAAGAACTTGGTTCCAAGGCGTTGGCTCTGCAGCCACGCCTAGAGACACACAGCCCGTGGAACCCCAGTTCCCTCCTCACCATGCTCCCCCTTAAGAGTCCCCGCTCTATTTATAAGTGAAACCACGTGATATCGTGACGTCACTACGACGCCTATCATAAGTCAACGTGGTTGGTCAGAACTTAAAATAACCTGCCAAATAAGGAGTGCTAGACAGCCGTGATGACATTTGACATGGCGCGCATGAACATGCGAAAATGGTCCAGGCGTACACAATACATTAGAAAATTACATATAGGTGTTGGAATGTGGAGATTAAAGTAATATTGGATGGGAAAGTTAATACGTACAGACATACACAATTGAATGCAATTGCCATGTCATACGTACATGCGGGTAGCCCATCAGATTGGTGACAACTTCGTTGCAGATGTCCACTGTAACCGACATGATAATAAAATTCCGATATGTTTGTAATGTGAAACTACCCAAGCTGTCTGTTTTATAAAATACCACTTTTCAGATTTGGCTAGGTGACCCCTGCTTTTAAAACGATTACTTTTGTTTTATTTTATTTATTTTCCCATTATCACAATACCCCCCAAGCTTACGAATTAATCTTTGCAGGCCAATGACAGTGTTCCCGAAAAAACGCAATATCGTCAGCAAATAATAAACAAAAAAGTTCAAGGTTCACTTCCCATTATATACATGTACATGTATTAGTATATACCAGACAAATTTATTGCACATCATCTTGTCAACTGCGTTGACTACATTACAAATTGATTCAGATAACCAGATTGACTTACTTGACTTACCCAGGTACATTTAGATGTTTGCTGACATATTTCAATAGGTGATTTTCCGAACAATTGCGAGATCTCGCGAGA